CCAATAATTCAACAACGAACGTGAAGTCGATCAGATTTCGATGCCCTTCATGAACGGGGCTCAAGTTGTCCACCGCCACCCCTCCTCCATAGCCTGAGCTCTTCTTTCTCTGTTGAGACCTTTTGGCATAGCATAGCAAGGTTTCACTTTGAGCATGCGGAGCGCTTCTTTTTTGTCGAGGCCTTTGTTTACCTTGTTTTCACTTTGAGAATGCGGAGCGCTTCTTCTTTGTCAAGGCCTTTGGTGAGGCTACACTTTACAAAGGGGGAGCACTTTCTCTTAGTCGAGGCCTTTGGTGAGGCACGTTGAGCATGTGGAGCGCTTTGGCTTGTTCGGAAGGCCTCTCTTTGGTGGCGCTAATGTTTTTGAGCAGTTGGCTTTCATTCGAGCCTGTACCATATGTCACGCCTTCGGCGTCCAATAAATCACGATTGACACCGCCAGGGTCCAAAGGAGAGTGCGAGCCCTCACATGGAAGGGCAGTCAGTGATTGTGGTTGAATGTTATTTTCATCCGGTTTGGTCCGAGAGAGGAAGGTGGTCGAGAAGAAACTTGGGTCTACGTCGGAGAAGGTCAAGGTAGTTATGAACAGGAATCAGCAATGGAATATGTCGGTTCTGGCAGAGGCAGTTTTGAAAAGGAGCGCGGATGGGGATGGGGCAAGCCTACATGGAAATACGTAGGGCAGGGCCTTGGGTCTTATGAACAAAAGTCCTCTCTGAACTATGTTGGCGCAGGCCGAGGCTCGTATGACAAGGAGACGACAATTCTCAAAAAGTCCTTCTGGGAAGTCGCCACCGCCAGCCCCGATGCCGCGCTTCTGAAAATAGCACAGCAGTATGCAGCTGCGGAATTGGTTTTTGATGTGTTTCAGTGCTTCGTACTGTGGTGGCTGATCGAGGAAAAGAATGCGCAGCTCAAAGAAGAGAACTGGCAAGGTAAGCTCATGTGTGATTTTCTCAATCTCATCCACAGTCTTTGACCTGCTGCTCCTCAAGGGGCCAGCTGCGATAAGTAAGTTGATAAGTGGAGATGCAGGTGCCGTAGCCAGTCTCCTTACAGACGAGAGCTCAGAAAGAGGGCCGATGAAAGTACCTCAGCCAGAATGATGCAGCCTCGGCCCTCAACTGGAGGACAGGGTGTTGCGCCCGGACCTTCCCCATCTTGAAAATCTGCAGAGCGGCTTCGCATGTGTTAAGGATCGATTTCAGCGGATAGCGGTCCCGCAGGTTCTGAGTGCGATATCATGATAGGATCGTAGAATTGCAGACTGGAGTAGGATGCCGTAAGAATGTATGATACGTCTGGAAACATGTTTTTGCATCTGTGCTTGGCTGACCGGCTGCGGTGCGGAGCAGAAGCAGCAGGGCCAAGTTGCTCCGTTGGCAATCTAGGATTTAGGTCATGATTGGGAGCTTCCCCTGCATATTATTCAGACATGTCACATGCCATGTCCAACAGATGCTTGTGACTCCACAGTTCTCCGAAGCACAACGCAAAGTGGAAGATCCACACTAATGAGTCATTTAAGCATAGCACAGGTACAGTTAGACTTATAGCAACATGACACTCACGAGTCCAATGGGAAAGGTTCTGATTCATGAACATTCATGACTATTGACATTATGAATTAAACACCGATAGACCGATAGAAATGCTTACTTGGATATACACGACTTTGTACATATTCTAGACGTGCGTAATATTCTATGTGCATGCGCTTCTGTTGATTTCTACTACAGGTAGCATATTTCCTGGAAAAAAACCCAGCCCGAGGTCCAATCTGCGGGCATCGAAGCGGGCGAGGTGCGCGGCCTGCAGGTCAAAAGCGCGCCACGGCCAAGCAGCAGGGATGGAGAGCAGGAGGTGCTGTCAGCCATCGGCGATAAGACTTCCAATCATGGCCAACATAATCAGTGTTTGTGATTGCCAACCCATGATTCATGATGATAACTTAATGTTGCTACATATTATTCATTGTAAAGACCCTACCATCAGACAACTCGGTCCCAGACAGATTTTTCTTTTCCTTTTCTCTTTATGTTTCAAGAGGTTTGCCCAATATCGGGATAGCATTTGTTCGCAAGAACATGCGAATGAGCTTGGCTCAGCAACGGAGTATGGTGCTGCCATGACATGCAAAGAACAACAGTGAAGTACAGCTGTTTCAATGAACCTTCGAAACAAGCCAGGTAGAATTATAGTTATATATAGGTTGCATGGTTCCATCATAAGCTTGCAACTTCATTGTATTACTATGCCAGAACTATCTTCTCCGTATTTTGTTCGTTTGCCTTTTTCTTGGCCTTTGCAGAGGCGGGAATGGGATGGGCACTGTCGACGTTAGATGGGTGATCAACGAACATCGACACCTTCTGCATGGCACATGCCCCCAAGCTACTAGGAGCAAAGGGCATCGCTACTAGGAGCAAGGACGCTACTAAGAACTCCTGGCCGTACTACTAGGAGCAAATAGCTACGCACGGTGGAGGCCATCGCCACAAAGCGTAGACACCACCATAGCACCGAACGCCGGGGGCACCAAAGGCCGGGATCGCTGCAGGTAGCCCGAAGAGTCTACCAGGTCAAGCTCCAATCGCCTATCGTTTCGAAGTCCGATATGTTTCCTGTGAAAGCAACCACTTAAGGTTCACCCAACCACTTTCAGTGGATTCCTGTCTGCCATGGGGATTCGACGTCTTTTTCTGTGCTTTGAGGGATTTGCATGGATCCGTGTTCAAGCACCTCCAGCGCTAGCTCCAAGGACGGGGCCGAAACCTCGCGTGGAGACCGAAATCGGGCGCTTTGTTCGGAACCTGCATGGTTTTGCATCGCCCAGCTGTTGAGAATGCGGGGCTGTTTCTCCAGTCAGCCGGTGAGCCGTGTCAAAACGCTCAGTCTGCCCTTTGCTCTTGTAAGGCCTCGAGACATTCGGAATTTGCAGAATTCCATCTGTGCATGGCTTGCAGTAGGATTCGGATTGTTCCTCCAACCGACCAGTACTTGTTGGAAGATTGTGAACATACAACATTCGTTGATCCGATCCCTTGAAGTTTGTGAGATGCATCATGCTTTTGCTTGCCGGACAATTTAAGTTGCTTCTCAAAAGATACATTTCGATCAGAAGTCTATTCCGCTGTGCCCCGTCGTGGCGCTGCGAAAAGAACCCGGTCGGCCGCCCTCTTCGTCACAGGATCCTGCCAAGATGGGGAAGGACTCCCGGGAGCGACGAACACATCGGCGGCAAAACGATCCTTCCAGACCTGTTGGGGAGAATCGTGATCCCAATCATGGCCTCCAACTAGCGTTGGCCTCCAATGGTCTATTTTTTTATTCCCCAAACAGTTTACTGTTAGGGGTTCTCAATTCTTTCTTAAGATGTGTCCGCCCTTTGTGTCACTGCTGGTGTCCGCCCTTTTCCGCTGGCCATGTAGCATTTCTATTCATTTGTCTCCCAGGTCTGTCCGTGCTGGTGTCTGCCCTTTTCCGCTGGCCATGTAGCATTTCTATCTCCCAGGTTTGTCACTGCTGGTGTCCGCCCTTTTCCGCTGGCCATGTAGCATTTCTATTTGTCCTCGCAAGCCTTTGCATTTGTCTCCCAGCTCTAGACTGCTGTATCCGCCTCTGCCTAGCAATCCTTTATTTTTCACCCAGCTCTGGGCTGCAAGTCGCTTGCAACCTTTCGTCGCAAGCTTTAGTTGCAGAGTGTTCCGATTTGGAAAAGCACAAACTGTTTGGAGTCCACGGTGGTGTAAATTGTTTCTCACGGAGCAGTAATTGACGCCAAATAGTGCATCATTAGCATCATGAGGGTCTCAGCAGGCTATTTGGACAGTCTTTCGACAAGGGGTGGGATTTCACGTCGAGGACAGGAAAGGGGGGCGCAACGTGACAGGAAAAGAGGTCGGGAGCTCACCAGGGAAGGTCTCTCAGCCCTTTGTTTTCTCGTGGCCAATAAGAGTGAAAGGGGAGACCCGTAGAGGACAGGAGAGGGAATAGAAGGCAGTCAGAAACTTTGAGTCCCGTTTTACGGTGCAGAGGGCTGTTAACTGTTAACTAAATGAAAACAGGGCACCCCTATGCACCCCTTAGAGCTATGGATGTCCATGTGAGTTCGGCTTTGGTACGGATCGAAGTCTATCCCACGCACAGTAAGAGTGGATGGGGGTTGGCCCAAGGTGTTGCGTGTATCGGATCCAGCAGATCCAGGTTTAAAGCAGATCCAGGGAGTCTTGCACCGCCCGCTTCACTATACTGCGGCCGCTATTTTGCTCTGCAACACAGGAAGACACTTACAGGCTGACCAGGTGTGTCTTGACCCTCAATGGGAGACTTTCCGCCTCTGCGGGCTATTTCCCCATGCCTGAAAACAGTTCTAGTGCGCTGTCAAATTCACCCCATAGCCACATTGATGTTTTCTTACGCAGGCTGGCTTTCGTCCCCTCCCTTTTCAGGTATATATATATATATATATACTCTACATACTTAGAAGTGCGAGGTGGTTGGGGTGCAGATTCTTCCCTCAGCGTCAAGTCAGTTGCAATCGGGGCAGGGTCAAATGTGGACCCAGGGCAATGGTGGAAATCCACTGGGTAGTGACGGTGAGAGATCCACTGCGGGGTTGCAACGGTTTTGGAGCCCGTGTTGCTAGTAGCTTCTTTTTACTAGTAGTGTTGGCCTCCAACCTAATAGGGATGGCCTCCACCTAATAGTTTCTTGCGATTCATTTTGGAACTTGTGCATTTCACCCGTTCTTTGGTTTGACCAAAATTCAACTTTGGTTGTCTACTTGACCCCTCCGATCTCTCACAGCGTGTTTTCACTCGCTGCTTCTCTCCCCGCGCAGGAGCACCGCCCACGCCGGCAGAAGGGAACGCGCGTGTTGCTCGAAGCCGACGCGACGGTGTTGCTCAGCTGCGATGGATCGGGTGATCGTTGGGGCTGAAACCATGGGAAGTTTGCTGCATCCTTATTGTTAAAAAAACAATGGAAGGGCTGAAGAAGGCACCTTTTTCAACTGGCATTGTGAAAATGTGGGATTTATCATCCGGTGCAGGTTTTCGAGCTGGTGATGAAAGTCCTTGCATTGGAACCTGCGAACATATCTCGTCCCCAACCGCAAGTCAGTTAAATCAACGGATCAACCTGCGCTTTGAAAGTGCACCATTTTCCAGAATGGCATATCCTCACCATGAGAAGACTAATTTAGTATTCAAGCACCTTTGATTGAAAATTGCCATAGTACAGAGCCTGCTGAGTGGTGGCGGAGTTTAAATTAAGCCTGCAACACACTCCTCCACACAAATCCGACAGGACATGTGTTGATGGCACGAATGCCTCCTCGAGAAAAGTCTTGAACAGATTACTGTCTGATGACGACTTCTATATACATATTTAATGGGTTAATCCTGTGATTGTTTCCTTTTGATAGCTAAAGGAATAGTAATGATAAGAACCATCATCCACCGAACCAGTGAATACAGACCTACTTCACATGATCGTCATTCTGCAAAACCGTGCGAACTGCTCCTCTCAGGGTGTTTGGCTGGGGCCGACCAAGGTACCCCTTAAAAGAGCTTCTGGATCAGAAGGTGGAAAGCTTCAAGGAAATCCTCCCACCAATGGTGAAATTGTTTCAGGGGATCGATGGCGAACAAATGCTGGAGCTCGCAGACTTCTTTGTTCACGTGGTGGAGACGACCATGGACACCTTCTGGGTCGATGGTCTACATCTGTACCACGACCTGGCAAAGCGTCGTGAAGACCAAGCGGCCTGGTCCGGCCTAGCCGACATGGATCTCATTCAGCAAGTCTTGGCCCATCCGCAAGAGGCCCGGACTTTTGTCGATCGAGTTCTTCACGAGACCCTAAAATGGTTGACCTGGTGTTGTAGTGTAAAATCCATTAGTAAGACAATGGTTGTTTGGTAAAGGCTATTAAGTTATTGGTGGTTGGAAGCCTAGGCAAAAGTTGGTGATCATACCGTGATTCTTTTCCCCAAAAGCTGGTAGGACACCTTATGAGCCCTCACGATGGAGCTGAGACCAAACGGTGCTGATGAAGCCTCTTTCACCGGTGCCTATGGTTTAGGTAAGCCTCCGGCTGCAGCGGTCTCAGGAGATGAAGGACCTGATGGCTATAGCCAAGACTTGCCTTCAAGGACCCAAGTTTCGGGTGACGCCCGAGGAGTTCAACGAGTTGGAACAGCTCAACAGCTTTCAGCAGCTGCTCTACAAGGTCGCGCAACAACACTGGGGTGGTGAGTTGGGCCACGGAAGAACCACTCAGAATGCCTTTTTTGGCAGAACCCGGTTGGACCAGTGATGGGTGGCTCAAAAAGAACTGCGACCCAAGGACCTGCAGGTTTGGAATGGCGCATGTGTTGAAACATGTTGAAACCAAATCGGTCCCACAGCACGAATGTTCCTGAGATATATTGTGAGATCTGCTTCCTTCCTGGGATAAAGGGCCAATCTGGTGAAAGGTGTCTTCCCCCTGGACTTGGGACTTTTTGCTCTACGACTTCTCCACTGCAGACAGGTGCAAGAGCATCAGCAGCGGGAGGCTTGCCCCGACTCGCTCTACGATCCGATCGAAGGATCTCCCGTTTGATCGAAGGGGTCGCACTGCGGCGGACGCCGGTCGCCGGTTTGGGTCATTTCTTGTCTTGACCGGCCTGTTCGGTCATCCCTTCGGCAAGATCCTAAATCCAACCACGGGGTGTCCGTGTTTGGTTTCTTCACGGAGGTGAGTGCGTAGGTGAGACCGATCTCTTCCGACCCCCTGAAAAGTGAAGCTTCTAAGGGTCAGACTGTACCTGCCAGTGGCACTACGTGGTGTCCTTTGTCCGCTATCCTTCACTGGATGACTGGATACCAATTGGTTCACCTTCCTTGGAAGCTGGAAAGCTAAAAAGACTTCTTCTCAACTTCATGGCCGAAGGAAGGGCACCCTGTTCATGAAGCACTTCAATGAGGGAACGAGGGAGCCAAGTCGAAGAACTCTGTCCTCATACCTCTCAACCTAGACCTAGACCGGCTGATCGATTGGCTGCTTTCCATGCTTGAGGTGGAACAGGGAGAAGCCAAGGCAGGTGGGTTGCCTACGGTTGGTTCGCTTCTGGTCGGGGAAAGTCAGCATTGGTTCACTTCTGTTTGGCGCATCCAGTGTTGGGATTATGAGTGTTTGGATTACATATATGATATAATGTACTTGGGTTCTGTACAATGTGTTTGACGCTGCTGAAAAAGCCAAAGTCCTGCCACTTCCAACTGCAAATTCTGAAGTTGAACAAGTCGCTAGCAGTGCCACTTGTGCAGGGTTTCAGAGTATAAGACAAGCAAGTTCAGTCCATCATCCACAAGTACACAAACAGGAAAACCACTGGACATGAATGCAAACATTTCTTTTGAAAGGAAGCACCGCTGGAAGTACAGCACTGGTGCGAACGCATGGTACGCTAGACTATTCCTATTTCCACAAAGAGCACCCTGCAAGTCATGATTGGCTGCTGAAACAACATTTCCCTAGCTCCTGCACCACAGGAAGTGGCAGAAGTGCCGACCCCAGCTCAAGTCAGTTTGTGCCAGCAAGGATTGTGAAAAATGTATGTGAAGGGTTCTTGTTGAGGACTAAGGGCTGTAGAAATCATCCTGAATCGTCAGCGGAACGCATTGCACTAAACTATACAAGCTTCCAAACAAGAGCACCCTGCAAGTCATTTAGAAAAACCGTTGCCAAGGCTCCTGCTGTGGCAGCTGTGCCGGCTGTGCCGACCCCAGCGCAAGTCATTCTCAAAAGTGGATATGAAGGCTTCTTGATGAGGGCTAAGGCTTTTTCGCCGTGGTAACCATCCTGAATCAAATGCTTCCAAAAAGAGCACCCTGCAAGTCATTTGAAAAAACCCTTGCCAACGCTCCTGCTGTGGCAGCTGTGCCGGCTGTGCCGACCCCAGCTCAAGTCATTCTCAAAAGCTGATATGAAGGCTTCTTGTTGAGGACTAAGGCTTTTTCGCCGTGGTAGTCATCCTGAATCGTCAGTGGAACACATTGTGCCAAATTACACATGCTTCCAAAAAGAGCACCCTGCAAGTCATTTTGACAAAACGCCTTGCCAAGGTGCCTCCTGTGGCGGCTGTGCCGACCCCAGCTCAAGTCATTCTCAACCATGGATATGAAGGCTTCTTGTTGAGGACTAAGGCTTTTTCGCCGTGGAAGTCATCCTGAATCGTCAGTGGAACACATTGTTTGCTAAACTTCACATGCTTCCTTGGGCTTGTCTCCCAGGCGCTGGCAGATGAGACGCCCATTGTGGCCAACTCACCGGTGCAAGATGGCGCAGTTCGCGCCATCTATGCCGGGGTGCACCAGGTAGCCGGCCTCCAGTCACCGTGGACAAATAAGATATCTTGGACATAGATTGGAATTGCTTTAAGCCAGCGGCATCAGGAAGTGAACATACTTAGTCGAAAGCACGGTGAGAAACCAGTAAGTCATGAGCTATTGCGCATGTGGTTTCTTTGTGCAGGCTCCCCTGCTGCACCCAGCCCTGACCTCAAATCACCTCGTGCAGTGAAATGGGAAGCTCTTGGACAGTGTGACTGCAAAACTGACACCCATCAGGATAGGTCGTTGGCCATAGGTCGTTTGAAGATTGCCTTTCAAACGCCACTGTTTGAACCACCCCTATAGAGTACTGGCGGTTCTGTTGTGTTGACACTGACCCCATTTGGGCGTGCGGTACAGGGCGCTCAGGCAGGGATAGAGGGTGGCAGGGTGAGGAGATTGGCAACAATGATGATTTTGATATATGTTTGATCACACGTTCATGAGTCATTATTCATTATCATCACATGATTCAGATCAATCAATGCAACAATTGTTATTGCTTGAAAATGATCTACAAGCGCACAGAACTTCAGCCCTGGGGACGGATAACATGAGTTTTCTGGTGCTTCCTTTCGGGGGAACATAATTTAAAGCGGACTGGAACTCAAAAGCCAAGTGAACATGTGCACATGGGAAACACTGGAACACATTGCGCTAAACTACACATGTTTCCAAGAAGAGCATCCTGCAAGCTATTCGGAAACAAATAAAACAAAAAAACTTGCCAAGGCGCCTCCTGTGCCGGCTGTGTGGACCCCAGCTCAAGTCAGTTTGCGCCAGCAAGGATTTTCAAACATGGATGAAGGCTTCTTGTTGAGGAATAAGGCTGTTGCGCCGTGAAGTCACATTTGCAAAAAAGATCATTGCCAAACAGCCAAGTGAACCTGTGCGGGCTGGATCTTTTTTTGGGGAGAAAATTATTTTCAAAAAGGCAAATGCTAGAAACTAAAGATCGACATTACAACAACACCTCTGCATATCGTTTTTCCATGGTTTTTCCTGCGCAGGGGCCAGTGGCTGTGGCAGACGCGGTTACGCCAATCCAATATGGCGGAGTTCCAATCGTTGCCGTTACAGCCATGATGGCTGAAACCTGAGCAGAAACGGTAGGTGCCCCTTTCCACGTGGTGGAGAACTTTTTAAAGCTTTGCCAAATAGTTGGATTAGTTGGGTACCTTTCTCGTTCTGCTCGTGGCTTTGGTTGTTGCTCATGTTGCACGCGGAGCCCGCCGTCATTTTGTGCCGCCACAAGCAGTGTGGATGCAGCCTTGCTGCGGGATGAAGTGGCAGGCTCTCAGGGAGAGGAGAGTGCAGGTTTCGAGAAACCAGTTCTAATTCTTTGAGAATTGCTCTTAGAAACGGAATTTTCAGAAACTTACAGTATTTGGTTGTAAGTTGTGAGCCAAAAGCCTGCCCCAAACCATGATCTGGCTTGTGGACCAGTGCTCCCGAATGGCAAAAAACAATACAGTTTTTGTACCGACACTGGGCAGTTTTGGCATCGTGATCCACCTTTCCACGTGAATGCACCCTATCAAAGTTCCAACTTACCTTGAAACCAATAGCGATGGCCTCCACCCTAGTAGCGATGGTCTCCAACCTAGAAGCAATGGCCTCCAGCCTAATAGCCATGGCCTCCAACCTAGTAGCAATGGCCTCCAACCTAATAGCGATGGCCAAATTCCTACTTCCCTTGAAAGTATTCAATCTGATAGACTACCTGAACTTGCTTTGAAAACGATTGAACGTCACGAGAAAATGCGGCAGTACCAGAGAGTTCATGGAGACAGTAGTGTCTTAAACTCAGTGCAGTTTCATATATTTCAACCTGGACCTGTGCCACAACCTGTGTGAGGGTGCAACGTTCATGGGACCAAGACACTTGTGCATGACCTTGGGAGCTTTGACTGAACGGTACCCCCTTCGGAAGAGCTCCCTTTTGGCACGTCGTTGGCACACGGAATGACAGGCCATGAGGCTCTTGGGGCGGATGTTCCTTGACAGAGGGTGGGGGGTAGCTATGGAATTGAGTCCCAGGGCAGGAAGTTTGCCGAATTTTAAAGAACCGCATCCGGTATACATGTCTATGCATACACACCTGCCAGGTATCAAGCCTGCCAGGTATTAATATCCGGTCGCGTTTTTAATGCTTGCTTTCCATCGATTCGACAGTTCTGCTTAGGGGAACAGGTGACAGGTCTATCTTGTGGAGAGGTGACAGGAATACACGTGGTGCGAGGAAGGTTGTTGACTCTGTCTTTCCACCTCCCACTGTCTTTTGCATCGAGAACAATTGATGATGCCTTCTTGGGGGGTATTGTAAATATATTTGTTTCTTTTGGTGGCGTGTGTGACCCAAGTAGGTTTGACAATCATCTTCAGTGACAGCAGCGAACATTTCCCCGCGACCGTCCGACGAGAGCGTGGGGGAAATTGTAAGGTAGCATGAGTCAAGGATGTTTGACGTTTCCACTGCATGTTTGAGTCAAGGAAGACAGAACGCGAACACTGGCACTTCAAGAACTTGCCCACACCTTGACTCAGTAGCAGAGGAACATCGTCTTCCCAGGGGCAATTTGCCATGTTAAGGGAGTCAGAGTGTATGTGTTCAGTTGCGACTTGTGCAACATCTCATTGAAACCAGCGGTTTAAGCGCGTTTTGGGGCATGGTTTCAATCGCAGTGGCACGACTGCGAACCGGTGAGACTGTTTGGCGTCCGTTCGGTGGGCAGCTAATAGCTTTTTGTTACCACTAGTAAGGCACTTGTTACTACTAGCGTGGCACTTGTTACTACTAGTAACAAGGACATGGTGCAACCTTGTTGACCGCATTTGAGGCCTTTTTTTGGCGGCAAAAGCACCAGGGTCTCAAGGCGGGGGTCTTGATGCGCAGCCGGGGACGGCAAGGCTCGTGCTCGCAGCCTGTAGGTGGAGTGCTAGAAGAGAAGAATATCATACATACTCTCCATGAAGTAATCTTACTAGTAGGAATGCCCTTGTTGCTAGTAATGTCCTTGTTACTAGCAGCGATGCCCTCGTTACTAGTAGCTTCTAGCTACTATGCAATGGCAAAAGTTTTCTTTGCATCTCCTCTATAATAAAAGCGGAAAACCCTTCCGCAAAGGTGAAAGGGCCTTCGAATTGGATCTTTGAGATTTGGAACGACAGAACTTTTGAGCCGATCCCAGGTGACCTCGGTATTCTGCCGTTCTCACCCCCCATAAGGATCCTTGGGATCAAAGAGTCTGTCCCGCCCAACAAGTCGTTGCAATTCGGAGATATTTGGCAGCCTAATGGGGCATGAGCCACTCACTTCTCGCGTTGTTGCAAGAACCAGGAAAAGTTTTGCTAGCTACTAGGCTTCTTCAGGAAGCTTGGGAATGGCCACCGTTTGGTTCGCCACACAACCTTTTAAACGCGAACCACCACACAACCTTGTTCCCGAGAGCGCCTGAGTGAGGGGTTCTTCTAAAAAACGCAGGTGCGCTACATATCATCAAAACTTGCATCTGCACATTTCCAGAGTTTCATATTCCACGCCAGTGCGTCATCACATCTGCGCATCTTTGCATCTCGCATCTTGACATCCGTACATATTCAGACCTGCACACCTTCGCATCTGCACATCTCTCTGTCTCTCTCTTATCTATCTATCTATCTAGCTAGCTAGCTTTGTTTATTTATTGCTTCTTTCCGTTAAGTTTTCTCTCTCTTTTTTTTTTTTTCTCTCTCTCTCTCTCTTCTTTTCTTTTTTTTTCTCTCTCTCTCTCTCTCTTTTGTTTTTCTCTCTCTCTCTCTCTCTCTGTCCCTCTGTCAAGTGCACAAACATCACCTTGGAAACATCTTTGAGGCAGGAGCTACTACATCCACAGTTTTCAAAACACACACACACACACACGCACACCTACAAACCTGCATAAACGTCGACTGGAAGATCTCTTGGGGGCAAGACCTGAATCCACACCCTTTCTACAAAAACAAATAGATCTGCGTCAACGTCACCTTCAAAACATCTGTGGGGCAGGACCTGAATCCAGGCATTCTGCTGGAAAAATGCACTTGGAAACACGTTTGGAACAGGACTTAAATGCATACATGTTATTGCAAAAGCATACAAAACTCGACTGGAAGACATCTCACGTTTATGTAAAAACGCATGCAAGCCTACATGAACATCAACTGGAAGACATCTTTGCTTCCTTCCTCCTGTGAACATCCTTTTCATCCCATCTTGTTCTCACTCCTCTTTTTCGCTTTCTCTCTCACCATCTCGCAACTCTCTTTGCTTTACCGTTTCATCGTAATGCAGGCATACCTTCCACCAAAGTAACTCTACACCTCAACTCTCTCGGGCCATCCGTCGTTTAGTTGTTCCAATATGGGGTCCTGGCATCTCTGGCCAGAGTAGCTTCTTGTTACTAGTAGTAAGGCACTTGTTCCTAGTAGCGATGCACTTGTTCCTAGTAGCTTCTTGCTACTAGTAAGAATGCTCCTAGTAGTAAGGCCAGGAGCGCCCCTAGTAGCGTCCCTTCCCAGTGGGGTCCCTTCCCAGCTCACCGAAATGCGCCACATTCTGGCGACAGAATCGGCCCTGCCGTGGGCCGCTGGAGATTTCAAAGCACCTCGGCGAAGTTGGCATGTTCCGGAGTGGGCACCAGGATCATCGTTGTTTGAAACATGTCCTTGAGTCCTTGAGGCGGTTCGTTCTTTTAGTTTCTACAACTTTTTTAATTGCAGGGCAAAGGACATTAGAGTGTGGGTGGGCGAAACAGAATCAACTCATGCTTGTCAAGTAGAAGATAGACCGTGAGGCAACCACTTGGGTGATGCGACAGTTGTAAGGCTTACACTCTCACTGATTAACATGGAAGTGGAAAACATCCCGTTTGTAAAGGAAAGTACTCTTTCAAGAGACCATCTCTTCCACTTCCATCCTTTGAAGAAGTGTATCGGATGATTCTGGATGAACGCAGAGTTTGACCCTTTTCACCTGATCGTTTTTTCTTGCCCCAGATTCCGCCGCAACATCGGACTCTTCGGATGTCCGAGACATGTTCGAGACATGCGATGAGGATCGGCTTAGCTGAGGCCAGATGGATGTGGCTCAAACAAGAAGACATATTTCTAAAGATCCACAGCTGTTCGATGTCACATAAGGTTGTATGTTCTATGCATTTACACATTTTAAGTGATATTGGATCCCTAGACATTGCCTTTCAGTGGTTGTGGACGCCATCCTATGTTTGAGCCATTTCATTCCAATTAGGTTAGATATCCTGCTAGCTTCGAACTGCGCTTTTAGCGCATTTCGGCCTCGGATGGAGTGATTCACGTGAAATGTTTGTCGCTCTGGAGACAAACGGCAAAACCATTTGCTCCATATTGGCTTTGGGATGCCTTGCGTATTCCGTGTGCAAGCATCGACAGATCCTTTTGCTCGGTGTGCTAGGTGGGAATCATCCTTTCAAACATGTTGTTTACATGTGATCTTGGAGGCCATTTATAGTAGCAATGTTCGCTACTAGGAGCAAAGGGCATCGCTACTAGGAGCAAGAACGCTACTGGGGGCTCCTGGCCGTACTACTAGGAGCAAATAGCTGCTAGTAGCAAGAAGCTGCTAGGTTGGAGGCCATTACTAGACACAATGGCCCTCAAGAGTTCCACCAGCTGGAGGTTCCGCAGAGATTTGTTCACCCGCGACGCACGTTCCTAGCAACACGTTCCTTCCGACGCCTATCAGATGAGGCAGTAGGTGGGTAACTTGGACAGATGTGCCAGATGGTTCACAGTGGTGCCAAGTGGAAGAGGGAGCAATGCCATTTTCTCTTGGAACGACGTTTGACTCCGTCCATTTGTACAAATGCATAGCGACCGCAGCTACCCCGTGGCAGATCCCTACCGCAGCTACACACTGGAGAGCGACCTGTTCTTTGGGTCCTGAAATGGGAGTCGTCCCAGCTCAAACGGTGGAGAGTTGACCAGTCGCCAGCGGCTCTTCTCGAC